TCCTCACAAGAATACCGACTCTCTGCATGGTTGACATTCTTCGAAATCCGGGTACACCTTCGTACCTTTGAATCGAATTTAGATATGTTAGTTAAAAAAATGTTAAAAAAATTTTTTGATGCTTTGTGTAATTGTGTTAATTAATGAGTTTCAAGCCTTTAATGCTGTAATACTCTCACCAAATCGCTGCCAAGAGTTGTTGAACGTGAGAATGCGAAACAAATCTTTTTTGCTTATATTGTATAGCCTGTTCCAGTCGAGCCAATTGTTTGCTGAGATCGGCATTCTCTTCCTTAGGATCATAATTTAGGATGGTATCCAACTCCGTAGTGGTTCGGACATGTTGCAACAAATCGACCGCGAATCTATTCGGAACGAGATTACGATTATATCAATGCATAAAAACGTATTCTCTGTATAATATTTTCTGAAAGGAGAAACTTGCTTTTCCACTTGCCGCCGCAGTTTCATATATTCGGCTCTACTTTCCGGCTCCGATACGGTTAATTCTCTGAGTTCCCAGCTCAATTGAAAAGCTGTCATTAGAGGATCCGTAGAGCTCAGAGCTATTAAACTTGGACTCGCTAGAGCTTTGTATTCGGATATTCTGGTGGATGACAGTCTTAATGGATCGACTAAAATAGGTGATTTCAATTATGTGTTTTCTATCAACAAATTGTGCATTTTTGAAAGTTCTTTGTAGCGAAATAAAGTTGGTCAACGTCTCTCTCTCTCTCTCTCTCTCACCGGTGGCTGCCTGAAGGCAATCATCGCAGCCGCATCTCACATCGTGTGGCATCGGTAAAGTGGCTCCTCTATCCAGTAGAAGTTTCAAGATCTCATAATTATTACGTTGCGCCGCGAGTACCAAAGGCGTCATGTCCATCGAATATCTAGCCGATGCCGGATCAACCTTCTGCCAACTGTGAATAACTTCCTTCTCGGCTGCAATCCGGAATGCGAGTAGCAAAGCGAAGGTCAATGGAATAGAAGCGCTAAAAATCTTATTTATCGATTAACGATGTAATTCTGGATGCGTACTGGATGCGTTATATGTTGAAAGTTGATTAATCGTCATTTTAATAATCACGGCGAATTATTTCATGTTATATCAAATTATTATTTCGAATAAGAATCAAAGCAATAAGATAAATATTATAAATTATTATTTTGTTGCGCGATCTTTACGAGCAATAAATTATTTCTCCAACGGTACTTGAAATCAAATACACACATACTTCAATATTTTTTTTAATTTTTCGTCGATCTAAATGTAATGTCTGATTCGGGTTAAGATTATGTAATAAGACGTAAAATTGTCAAGCTTTTAGAGAACAATCAATTTAAATAAATTAAAGTAATAAAAAGCAGTAATATTATTTATAGAGAGCATAATTAATACGTTAAGCGCGCATTAGTGTGTCGATTTTTAGTGTCTCGCGAATAATTAGCCGCGTCATTGCGCGATATTTCAATTTTGGTCCGATAAGCGGTTTAAATTGATTAAAATTCGATCAATTGCTTGATAAGGGCAGAGTGGGATCATCGTTTAGTTCCGTTCTGTTTTTCATCTCATGCACCATATGGTGTTGTCATATCATGTCTTCATATGTAGATAACCGAATACCATGGCCTTCTTTTTTTGAAGATATATGTGCGCTGAGACAAGAGTCGGAGCGAATTCGATTCAAATTGATCCCGTCCATTTTGTATTTTTTCGCTAAGTGTATTGATTTTTAATATGTCGCGAATTAGTCGCGTCTTCGCGTGATATTTTGATTTTGCTTTGACAAGCGGTTCGGCTCAAATCGGTTAGAATTGATACATTCGAGTTAATATATCTTTTTGAAGAATGGTTAATTACAGTTTTGTGAGAAATTATCTAGAATACATTATGCATGTTAATCTTTCGAGAACGTCAATTTTGACTCACCATTCTGTTCGGTCACTTGGTTCGCCGTAAGAAGTTCTTCGTGTTCTAATAGCAGCTCGACCGCCTCTACAAATTCTTGATCGATGGCGTGGAGCAGAGCGTCCTTGGTCTCCACTCCCATCACAACGAGCAACTCGACCATCTCTAAATTTTCCGCTTCTAATGCCAGCGTCAAAGCACCGCGACCCAGACTGTCCACACAATTCATGTCCAACAGTTCTCTCTGAAATGATTGAACGCGTATGTCGCGAAAGGTCTCACTGCTTCATTTTACGGAATTGTTGTTACAATTTTCATCTGCGTACTGTTTTTATATTTTAGTCGTTGATACATATATGTAATTAAACATTGATCAAATTTTAATTAAATTATAATTTTAGTAAATTTTTTCTTCTATTTGGAAAGAAATTGTCTTTCTTATTAAAATATAAAAACCTGTGCGTTCTAAAAAATTGACATACACTTTGCAAACTTATAGTGACATTTTTTGTATAGAAATAGTTTTGCTTTCGCATTGACTTCGCTTAAATCGGAATTCATGTTTACTTTGCCCTTATTTGCAAGTTGCAAAAGCCTTTTCACATTGGGTAGGTCACCTCTCTCCACAGCCAATAGGTACTTTTTCTCCTCGAGATTAAGCGGACGTGGGAGATGAAGCACGTAATCATCCGTGCTCTGGGTCGAGGCCTCCGTGTCCTTCTCGATCTTCCTGTCGCTCATCTCGCCAAGTTCATTCTGCTGCTTTGATAACAATTATCTCCACTTTTATCCAATTAGTTCACGAACAACCATCGAAATTATCTTTCTTTTTTTGTCAAGATACACTGTGATAATGAGACACTGAAATACGGAGAAAACACTTCGAAAAAGACAAAGACGGAGATCCCTTTAAAAGGAAAGACGAGTTCCTCGCGCGAAGGGAAACGATCGTTACGCTCTCGGTTAAAATATTGTTCCGTTCTCGTGTGAGCGCATGACACTTATTATATAGGGGATAATGAAAATCAAATTATGCGTATTAACCCAGACCTTATTTATCCATCCTGCGAATAAGTGACACAGACGGAGTCGGTTAACGCCGCCGCCGTTACCTGTGACTGTGCACCTGAATAATTTGCTTACCGATATCTTGTTAGACCGTCTAACGGATTGCACTTGGAATAAGAGTGACTGGGTCGTCGAAACGAGGTAAAGCCGACGCGAACTGAACACATCACCAGTCGCGGCGATCGCGGCGGCTAATTGTAAGCCGGATTTAATGCCCTAACGTATCTGTGCATTATATAATATTCCGGCGAAATGGGATGACAACCCCATTGTGCAATCGATATAATCTCCCTCTCTCTCAACATATTCCAAAAAGATTAAATATATCTTTTTATATCGTAGCTTTTTTGGCCGATTTGGAGATTTTTTTTTTCATAACGCTAATGTCACGAGAGAGGTTGATATTTTACTGTACATTTTTTTTATTTTTTGACATTGCTACATATTCTTGAATCTCTAAACTTTACATTAAAATTTTATAAGAATTTCCTACTTAAAATTTTGAAAAATATTATTTTATCATCTGTTTTACATCTCTATTGTTATATTTTCAATCGTTAATTATTCGAAAAATCTCGGCGTTTTTGTAGAAACATCAAAATGAAAATGTTAAAGAATCTGCAATGAGAATATTCGATAATTTTATTCTGCATTTTACTCGAATGATTTTGAAATTTCTCTAAGCTGTTTCTGTCAGCTGTTCAACGCGGTATTAAAGTAGATATTAAAAGCCGTTAAAATCTAGTTATTATAAACTGTTAAAATGTGGTTCGCATCGACATTGAAATCATATAGACGGCGAGAAACAGCAGAGAATACCGCGAGCGTTGCACAAATATTTGATCCGTTATTGGCAGAACGTATTCGACGTGGTCATGTTGGGGAAACATTCGAGTTGCAAAGCAAACCACGATGTTGAGAAATAGTCGTCCAACAACAGTTCATTAATGGTATAACAATTAATTATCCTACACGATTCGACGCGGATTAATAAGCCTAATCACAATAGAGAGATTCATTACGTGGAATCCGTATTAAAACTTCTTTCGTGCAGCTCATCGACTTTTCCGTGACATGGTGATAGTGACAACGATGACGCAAGTGCAGCAATGCGGTGGATGGAAAGTCGAGGGTTGCATTATGACGAAATGAACAATTCAGAAAGAAAGAGTAGAAAGGAAAGAAGAGACAGGAATTGTTTGCATGGTGGCTCCGTCTTCTCGGTCACGGCTGCATTTGATGTTTGCTCAGTAGCTTAATGTAAAGGATCTAGTATCCATCGATCTTGAGCCACCCACATTCTTTGGCCAGCTCCTTTCGTTTTTCATCCGTTTATCCCTTTGTCGCTACGTTTTCTATTGTTTCGTTTATATCACATGTACACAACCCGTTTTACAAAACACCTACTACATTTGAAGCACATAAAACAGAAAAAGAAAGAACAAGAATGACAGAGTTATTTTATTGCTCAGATAGACATATAATTTCTATGATTATTTAAGGATTGTTTGGAAAATTTATGGCTAAAACAAAGAAAATTTTCAAGGATTTAGAATATAAAAATGTATTGATACGCTTCCGTTGTAAATTATAGGATCAAGATATGTATCATTAAATTATATACATATATATACATATATATAATTTAAAGTACATTATAAATTAAAAATCAAAGCGTTAATGATAAAAGATATATATCTCGCAGTTTTACTTTTTGTTAATAAATAACGTCAATATAAATAGCGTCGCGAAGAACGAATGCGACAGGTGAAAGTAGTGACGACAAAATAAGAAGACGCGTCTTTACTCGCTCTTCTGCGCCGTCATTCTACGGAAGAGGGAAGTCTTTTCAACGAGTGGCAGGAAAAACACGATCAGTTGCCTGACGACGACGAGAAAAAAGGGGCAACAAGAGGAAATATCCGCGCAATAAATCGAAGCCACAGCTGTGAGCGTATTTCAGTGTCTTGTCTTGTCTTCCGGACGCACTTCCTGTTCTACGCTCATAAAAGTTACTAAAATGATATCTAGTTTTAGCGTTTTGAGGATATTGTGGTTGCTGTTGACTCTCGCGGCCCTTCTCGATGGTTCGCCAGCGATTAAAAAGGGACGCAAAGCGCCGGCCAATTTCCGGTACTCCAAGGATCTAGATGCGGAGGCTACGAATCACAAAGGTATACAATCTTCATTTATAAAAATTTTTCATTAAGAATAATGAAAAATCAATCAGTATAAACGAGATTATTTAATATGTAGAAATTATAAAATAATTCTATCAAATATATATTAATTTAAGAATTGAATATATTCTTACAATTAATTGCCTCATATTAGCTTTGTAAATTTTTGACAATTTTGATTCAGTGGATTTTTATAACTATGACAGTTTAGGATTCAAATTGATTCACAAATATGTACGTTAAAGAGAATTTTATTATATGTATATAATTAAATGAAACAATTAAATAAAAAATTTAATTAAATGAAAAAAAACTATCTATTTATAAACTAGCAAATTGAGGAAATATAAGTAACATTTATAAATCAGTATATTTGCATAAGTGTCGCATTCTATTTCATAGACGGAAATGCGGACGAAATAACCGTTTTTAACATTGACCAGCGGAAATTCAATCGCGAACGGAGCTTTTGCTGGATTATATGGATTTACCATCGATTGCACTAATTTATATGTGTCAGAGTATTAGAAGCGTATTCGAACTATTTTAAATATTTACGGTACAATAATACCTTTTGCGCTGTGCGTTCCCTGTATTTAATCTCTAATTGCTTCCTCATAAAGGAAGCTTTGTTTTCGTGACAAAATTTTTTTCCGTGTTTTCTATGCCAATGTGTTTAGAATGTTCCAAAACGTCGAAAAATCATATTCCTAAAAAATATCTGTATGTATGTATGTATGTATGTATGT